TGTGAGAGAGAGAGAGAGAGAGAGAGAGAGAGAGATGCAACAAGTGGGTCTCAGAGCCACACAGCCCTCCCGTCAGAAGGAAGCTGGGAGACAGAGCAGCTGAGAACTCGGGGAGATTATGGGCCCAGATTTCTGGGGGTCTGGCCGTGTGCTGGGAAACTGCCTAAGCAGTATGTGCCTTCCAAAAGCAAACGTGCCGCCCTGGAGCCGAACGCCAAGTGAAACCAGTTAGTGTTAATTTGCTTCCAAGACATAGTGACCCCACCTGTACAGAATAGAACTGCGTTCCACGGGATGCTCAGCACTTTCTGGTTTTTCACTGTTCACAACTCTATTTTCTCACAGATTAGGAGACGAGAAGTCCAAATTCAGGGTGAGCTTTAGAGGCAAGCCTTCTCTGTGTCAGGTTTAAATCACTCTCTCCCACCATCACGTCCTCAGGCTGGGGCAGATTCTTGCCTCTGGTCACCATCGGTGGCCCCGTGTCTCTTGGGGGTCTCCAGTGCCTTGGGCATAAACTCTCGCTGGGTCTAGGAGGTCCTCAACGCTGTGGTCTTTTGGAAGCAGACTGCCCGACCTTTCTGCTGAGGCACCTCTGAGTCTGAGTGGGTTTGATCTGTCAGCCTTTCTGATCAGTAGTCAACTGATCAGTGCCGCCCAGAGATACGCTGTTAGTGCCTGATTGTTACGGGTCATCAAGCTGGTTCCGACTCAGGCCAGGCTTCAGGTCAGAGAATAAGTGCCCCGTAGGGTTTCCTCAAACAAAACCTGAATGAAACTGCCACCCACACAGCAACCCCGTTGGGTGCCTAGAACTGCGTCTTTCGATTCCTGAGGCCGTGGAGCTTTACAGGAGCAGAAAGCCTCGCCTGTCTCCTTTGGAGCCACTGGTGGGTTTGAACTGATGACCTTACGGTTAGCAGCCCAGTGCGCAACCCACAGTGCCACCAGGGCTTCCCTAGGCTGTAATCTTTCCCGGAACAAGGCACGTGGTCCTTTCTCCTGTGGAGGGGCCGGGAGGTTCAAACCGTCACCTTGGGGTTAGCAGCTGAGGGCCTAACCACTGCCCCACCAGGGGTCCCCCTTCGAGCCGGAGACGGTCTCTTCTCTGACTCATGGTGACCTTTTGTGCAGAAGGAAACACCCCTGGTCCTGCACCACCCTCACATGGCGATTTGAGCCCACGATTGCCGTCACCGTGGGACTCCATTGAGGGGGACTCCATTGAGGGGCACCTTTTTTTTTTTGGCTGACCCTCCAGTTAACGGAGCAGAATCTTCTGCAGGGACTTGTTCCGACAAAGTGGCCCTGCCATTGCTTACTACCTTAAACCCACTGCCGCCGAGTCGAGTCGGTTCTGCCTGGTAGCGACTCTGGACTGAGGTGGTGAATGTTGACAGAGCAGACAGCCACTCTTCCTCAGAGTGGCTGGTGGGTGCCTTGCGTCAACAGCCCGATCCTTAGCTGACCGCGCCACTTGTGGGGACTTGTAGATTGGGGACACAGGTAACTACATCACCCTGCTCTGATGAAGGCTAAGTCAGAAAAACCAAGCCCACTGGCATCAAGTCAATACTGAGTCGAGTCATAGCGAGCCCACGGGACAGGGTAGACTGCCCCTGGGGGTTTCCAAGACTGTCCCTCTACGGGAGTAGGAAGCCTTCTTTCTCTCTCAGTGACTGGGCGGTTCAAACTGTGGTAAGAGCCGAGCACAGGTGCAGTGGCTCCAAACACAGACGGGGCTACATGAACTAATACGGGGAGCCTGGGCAAGCCTTAATGTCTCATCTGCAAAATGGGCACCATTTCCTGTTGAGGGCTTGGGGTGTGATCGATGGGAGGGGGAACGGGGAGTCGGCGAGGCCGGGGGTGGGGGGGGTTTGAGTTTGGGCGTGTGTCTGTGTGTCTGGGGTGGTGTACTTGTCCTCTGCGGCCCGGGAGGCAGGGTTCAGGCTCTCACTCGTTCTCATGTCTTTGCAGAATGGCTACATCAATTTCGACAAGCGCAGGAAGGTGAGAGCACTCTGGCTGGATGCTGCCCCGCCCCCTCCCATTCCATGTCCCAAGAAAGGGGGAGGGCAAAGACCGGGGTCCCAGAGCTGGCTCCTGCAGCATGAGGGGTCTCCCTAGGAGTTCGCTGTCCTTTCTGAACTGCGGCGGCTGCAGACCAAGTGCCAAGCCTATGCCCTCCGGCCGGACCCCGACATCCAGCAGTGGCTGCGGAGGCTGCGGCCCCTGACGGAGGCCCAGAGGTGACCGCCGGGGAGGCTGGGACCCTACTGGGAGGGGGGATGGTTAGCGTGCTATGTCCTGATCTCCGCTCATTGTCCCCTCCCCAGCCACCGGGTGTCCTGTGAGGTGGAGCCTCCGGGGACCAGTGACCCGCCTGCCCCACGGGTGCTTCGGCCAACACTGGTCATCTCGCAGTGGACAGAGTGAGGGGTCAGCAGTTGAGGGTGGTCTCTTGGGGACTTGCCATTCTTCCTCTGACCCTACCAATCTCCTGCCACTCTAGGGTCCTGGGCTCTGTTGGGGTCCCCACCCCCATGGCATCCTGGGACCGGCGGCCCAGTGCTGGGGGAGATGAAGCACCAGGAGCCCCTGCTCCTCTGCTGACCCGGCTAGCCCAGGTGAGTTTTGCTCCTGACCTCTGACCTTGGCCCTGAGCTTGACCCTTGAGTGCGTCTTCCACACCCTCCCTGTGTCCTATGTTGTTTGTCCCCTCAGCACGTGAAGTGGCCATCGGTCTCCTCTCTGGACTCTGCCCTGGAAAACACTGCCTCCCTGCACAGTCCCGCCGACCCCAGCCACCTCTCTCCTCCAGCCTCCTCTCCGCGGCCTCCCCGAGGTCACCGCCGATCTGCCTCCTGTGGCACCCCCCTCGGTGGAGGAGAAGGGACCCCCAGGGGCACTGGCTCTGGAGGAGGGGGGGCTGGGCCAGGGGCCTCCGACTGCCGAATCGTCCGCGTCCAGATGGAGCTGGGGGCAGACGGCAGTGTCTACAAGAGCATCCTGGTGAGTCCGGCCTGCCGGGAAGGCCTGCTACGGCCGGGCCTGCTCTGCGGTCAGGCTGGAGGTCTGGGCAGCCCGAGGGGAGGCCCGTTCTTCATCTGACCTTGGATGTCTGCTGTGCGTGAGCGGCTGCCGCTTGGACTCTGGACGGCCAGGTCCCGTTTTCAGAAGCCACAGCCGTTTCCCCACAGGGAGGAAGCCGCGTCCCCCTGGGCCGTGTGGGTGGGCACACGGGGTCCAGAAGCCACCAGATGACAGGGTTGGGCCCGGGTCGTGTTTTTCCCAGTTGGGGGTCCGCGGCTGGGGTTGGAAGGATGAGCTGGCTCTCGCGGGGCACCTTACTGTTCTTTTGGTCTTAGGTGACCAGCCAGGACAAGGCCCCAAGTGTCATTAGCCGTGTCCTGAAGAAAAACAATCGTGATTCTGCAGTGGCTTCAGAGTATGAGCTGGTGCAGCTGCTGCCCGGGGAGCGAGGTCAGAGGCCCTGGAGAGCGGCAAGCTTGGGAGGAATTTGGGACTAGCGCTGGGCCACTGAGCGGGCTTCCCCATCTGGGCAGTTGTCGGGGAACAACCGTGTGGTGCCTGACACGCACCCTCTGTGCCGACAGAGCTGACCATCCCACCCTCGGCTAACGTCTTCTATGCCATGGACGGAGCATCACACGATTTTCTTCTGCGTCGGCGACGGAGGCCCTCAGCTGCCACAGTGGGTGCCGCCAGCGGCCCCTCTGCCTCAGGAACACCCCCAAGTGAGCGGGGAGGGGGCTCTTTCCCCAGGATCAAGGCCACGGGGAGGAAGATTGCCCGGGCACTGTTCTGAAGAGGAAGCCCTATCAGTTCACAGGAGACAGGGTGGTCATACCGGATGCGGGAGCCAGGGAACCTGGCAGTCACTTGCATTGGGACAGAAATCCTAAAAGGTGGCCAGCTACCCTGGAGCCGTGAAGTGTCACTGGTTTACCAGAGGAGCCATGAGCTGGAGCGCTGTGGAAATGAGCAATCTTGGTAACCAAGTTGGATGCCTACGGCCCCACACCATCCGTGAAGCTGATGCTGGCCAAAAGGGTCAGTCCTGATTCCTGACCACAGCCTGGCATGCCAAAGGCCAAGGAGAGGCCTGGAGGCTCTGAGCCCCAGGGGGGCGTCAGTGGCAAGGCGGGTTTTTCCCTGACACTGAGGGTTTTGTCACTCTGACTACACTAAGATAATAAATCGAGACACTACCCGAGTTCTCCCATGTGATGTTCAGCCACTAGCTGCTAGGAGTCGGGGTGGGGAGTTGGCTGAAGGTAGAAGCAAAGCCTCCTGGTGCTGTCTATCCCTGTAATGAGGTGCAAGTTACATGGTTTTCTCGTGCAGTTGGCTCCTCTCCAACCCAGCCCATTATTATTACGTTTCTCTTTTCACAGAGGAAATCAGTATGGAGTCCTCTGGATGCACATTTCTAGGGAAACAGTTTTAGGACTAAGGTGGAAGCAAGAGTTTCGTGGGCAACATACGTATGAACTTTGAGAACTTAGGACCACGTGTAGCACTATGTTGGGATTATTAAATCGGTCGAGGCAATGACCAAATTCTAAGACTGACTAAAAAGAGATAGTACTATTGATCATAGCAGGGGTGGTCACCACATTGCCTCTTGGGTGTCGGGCTTGAGAATTGTGGGCCTAATTAAACGGAGACTTCTAACCAGCTGCAGCACGGTATGGCAACTCCAAGTGGTAGACGCAGCCAAGAAACGAGCTAGACCTTTTTCAGATGGGGCTTGCGAGGAAAAAAAAAGGAAAGATGGCCTACTGAGTGAGATTCCGGATCCAGAAAGTGGGCAGGGGATGGGTGGAGTCGTGACTGGAGTGGTCAGAACAAGTGAGGTGTTTCCACATTTTATTTGCTACAGTATAGACCGGAAAGCTGCCTCATTCCCTCCCCCCACTGCCCCCCACCACAAGGTCAGGCCTTCCCAGGAGTCCCTGCCTTTGCAGCCTGGGCCCGCTGGAACTCCTGCTGCAGTTGGGCAAGGGTTTCCCTCTGCTGCTCTGACTGCTTCTCCAGGTCCCGCAGCTGGGATTCGTAGCGCTTGCTGAGGCGAGGCAAGAAAGGCCGAGATTAGTGGGTTTTAAGAAGGGGTGACATTTGCGGTGGGGAGGGCAAGGCTGGCCGTTGGGGGCCACTTGGCAGCGCTGCCCTACCGTGGTCCCCGGACCCCTCTACAACCAGCAGGGCCAGCTGCACCCTAGGGTGGTGGGGCAGACTCACATTTCGGCTGTAATATAGTCCAGCCTCTTCCCCACGGTGGCCCGGGCTTCCCCCAGCTCCTGTTTGACCAGCACCGGCCCCAGGAGCTTAAACACCACGTTGGACCCATCCAACAGGGCCAGCTCCTCCTTCACGATGTTATTTTCCGTTAGCTGTGCCTCGAGTTTCTGCCGCCCGGACATGGACTTACTCAGGTCCTTCTGGAGCTGCTGCTATTTCTCCACTTCCCCCTTCAGCTTCTTTTGGATCAGCTCAGCCATGGCGGGGACCAGCTCCTGCGAGGGGTGGGAGAGGGGCGCTGGGGCTCAGGCTGGAAAATGCCCCAACTGCGCGGCCCGGCCGGCTGGAGGAGGCCTCCGCGGCCCTCCTCCGTCCCAGGGCGCACCTCTACCCCCGCCGCCCCGGAGCGGGCGAAACGAGGCCCCAGCACACCCCCGCTCAACCGCCTTTTTTTTTTTTT